TGGTATTTTCTGATTGAGAAAGCAAATGTTTGTTGTCCAAAGCTGATTTTAAAGTTACCGGACTTCTTTCTGCAGATTGATATTACTGTATAAAGTGTAGTCCTTAGCAACGGTCTGTTCACCTTGCAGGGTGACACAACAAAAAAAAAATCTGGTTAAAAATCAATCACTAAAGCTAAAAGACTATCTTTGCTCATAATATTTAGGTTTCCACTGTCAATATAACCACAGTGGTAATGACTATTATGTAAGGGATAATGTGCTGCAACGCGGTCATTATGGGGAAAAGAACACCGACAGGCTGATCAGGAGCCCGACGCGCTTGTCGACCCTCCGCTTTGCGTCGGGCCGAACCACGCCCCTTAGCTGTGATATAATGAGCATATACCATGGCCTGTCGTGAGCTATTGCTTAATTATCAGACCCCGCAGGAAAGGGTTTCCTGTCATCCTTAACACATGTAGCTCTTGGATTATTAACTCGTAAGATGAATAGTTATGTGTTGAAATATACATTACAAAATCATTACAGTTTCAAATCTTATGCTTAATATATCAATATATATATCATAATATATGTCAGCTATATAAGAATCATTCAGATTCACAACTTATGGTGAAGTGCAAAGATATCACCCTAAGATCCCTGTGAAGTAGCTCACAAGGAGAGTGTATTGATTAAAAAGGGAGGCACACGCCTTGGAAAAAGCTAGATACTGTAGGTGGTGGAAAGTCCGCGTGATCCGCATGCCAATTGTTGCCATGCTCGGAAGTTCCTGGATAATATTCCATAGTGAATGCTTACAGTGGATGACATGGGGTGTACGTTGAAATGAAGATCATACATAGTCAATGATCTGTCTGTTAAGTGGAAAATATTCTCCATACCAATGACGGACTGGGTCTTCAAAGCCATTATTGTCCGAAAGCCATTGCCTTTTGAGTACAATCTAGACAAGCTTCCTGCTAATGGAGTTTTTAAATGGCATTTGTATAATGGAGCATAGCGCTGATTGGACATTCAGTACATTATAATTATTTCCTGAAATGTCTATTAAATGTGGGGTATAGGTAAGTTTGAGAAACCGACTCGAGATACACTTTTTGTTATATTCCATGGAATGCTCTTAACATCCCGATAGCAATGAATATCTGAAGTGCTTTGACAAAAAATCCATACAAAAAACTCATCTGTGGAAGCCGTAGCGCTGTAAAAAGCATGACCAATCATCTGAGCCGGCCCGGCTAAAATAACTGGATGGCCTACCTGCCTGTCAGCCTTCCATCTGTCCACAAACTTATCTCGTGCCCTCATTGGTCATGTGCGCGTTCGTGTGTGTTGGAGGAGGGGCTCTGTAAGGAAGTGGGACATTTGTTCCGGCTGTGTATTTTCAAATTCTAGCGCACTCGAGCTGGTTTCTCCAAAATGACCTACCCCACCTTTAAGGGATAATCTTTCCTTATTTCCAAGGGTTCAGTTTGGTGACCAGGTTACTTTTCTGGAGAGAAACTATGTTTAATTAATTGTTTTATTTGTTGTAAAGAGAATAAGGGTTTTGTTTACCACAGCATTAACGCATTTATCTTCAATATAAAAACTAGCTCCGTCAAGGTGTGCGCAAGAGAAACTCCATCTGGAGGGAAAAACAGGGATGTTAGCCTTTGCAGGCTATTTACATGCACACAAACCTATAACACACTACATGAAAGGGAAAACCTCAAAAAGCACAATAGGGCCTCTTTAACATGCTGATGAGTGGCAGAAATAACGATTACAATGTTTACTATATGGTGTTTTAGTGCAAAAACTAAGTTCAGCTGAATAAATGTTTGCCTCAGATCACATGAAAGGATCTCTAATGTTTCATCATGAGAGGAAGATATGCTAATTTCATGAAGATTCCTCTAAATACTATTAAAATAATAATCCCTTCACAAATGTGGTATTCATGACGGCAAAGGATCTCCAAAGTCCTTAGCAGTCACCGTCTAAATCGTGTGCTGCATTTGAAATAAATAAACTAACTGTTTCAGGGAAATCTACCGATGTTCTAGTAAGAACTTGGAGCTTATCCAAATGACTGAGTAGCTGGAAGAGCCTCTTAGAATCGGTGCCAGAAGCCGTGTGAAGCTTCTAATCATTTGCACTGTGGCCTGACAAAAAATACAATACAGACCCCAAATAAGTGAGATGCCGATTCAAACTGGAATCATTTATACAGTACATGCTTTCTGTGTGTTACTCTCTGTTGGATGTCTATTAACAGAGCAGACAACGTCACTTTTGTTCAGGAACAACACCACAGAAGATTTGTGGTATTATTACAAATAAATCCCGGAAGAATACAAGCGAACAGTTATACAGTTAGATCAATGATTCGTCGTGTGGAGCCCTTTATTGTTTGCATCAGGTCTGAAACACACACGAGGATGCACATGTATGCCATAAGTCGAAAAGGGGGGTAGCAGTCGGTGGCGGTAAAGGTAGCAATTAGTTATCAAAGAGGATAATAATAATAAGAAGAAGACCACTGTTGTTTACTTTGTCCCCAGGATACAACCAAAATGTGTGTTGGTTGGATATAATATATTTATAATAAGAACAAGTATTTTTCCCCTAAGCACACTAAATTGTGTTATATATATTTATCAGTTATTTTTAAAATCCACACAAACTATTCTTCCCTTAAGCATAAATCTAATCCACGCCTCATACAAACAAAAATAATTAAAGTTTGTCTTTATTTCCTTTTTCAATAGCAGTTGCCAAGAACACCAAGAGCAAATACCAGGATTTTAGTTTCCATTAAAATAAAGTTAATACTGGTGTGTGAACTGCAAATGTATCAAAGAAGCAGACTTGACAAGCAATAAGACATCTAAAAGGCTCTTTTTTAAGACTGGCCTTGTGCTCACTCCACACAAAATGTTCAGTTGTTACAAAAGGAGGAGAGAGTGTTTGTGTCTTCATCTTCTTTCTGAGTGCCCAGCCTTTTGTTGTCTTCTCCGAGTGGAAATTGTCAGTCATTGATTGTTATTTGGTTGCTTTGTTTCCTGTTTTATTTTAAAAGTTCAGCCTCCTCATGAGTAATGGCCATTTCTCAATGTGTTTTCGTCTGTACTTGTAAAATCATATATAGCCCAAGTACTTTCCCAGCACATCATTTTGCATCTGGCCAAAAACGGTTTACATGTTCAGGACCTATTTCATCAAAAACGATTTGGATGGTCACTGATTGAAAGGAGCCCTAATTTGCTTATTTTCAGGTCAATATGTTGAGTTTTTTACAATTTAAACTAACACACTGCTTTATGGTATGCTTAGTGCCAAATCAGCAAATGTGAGTGCAAAATTAAAATGACATTTGTAACCCTCCTATTGTCTTCGTTTCCCCCCCCCTTACTTTGGTGTTCGCGGTCAAATTCTACCGGTCCTGTTTTAACTGCTATTACATTAACACAAAAACCATTAATCATCACCAATTTTAATTTAACACCCTTTCAAACTGTANGTGTGTGTGTGTGTGTGTGTGTGTGTGTGTGTGTGTGTGTGTGTGTGTGAAAATGATTTGAATATTAAAGAGTGCAGGATTGGACTGTAACCTAGGCTAGAAGAGATAGAGAGAGTACAACGATTAAATCCCTTTATGTCTTCAATATTATTACATACAAACATATCAGTGAAGTCTGGAACCTTTTTTAAACTATCTGTTTTTCCATTTAAGATTTTAAAGCTCCTTATGAATTATAGAAAACACATTTGCACTGTCCTTTAGCAAACACATCCCAACGCCTCCAATGTGTGAGTATATAAATGTGTGTGTAATTTAAGATGATTCAGCTGCAGCTTCTTCCAGCCTGCATCATAGCAAAAGTAAAAAGAATCAATTAATTTGTAATCAAATAAAAAAAAATGGGCTCTGCAATACATCCTTATACAACTCAGAATGTGATAGTTTTTATTTTAACAGCCGAGCCGGCTAGATGATTGGTCGTGCTTTTTACAGCGCTACGGCTTCCACAGATGACATTTTTTATGGATTTTCTGTCAAAGCACTTAAGATATTCATTGCTATCGGGATGTTAAGAGCATTCCATGGAATATAACAAAGTGTATCTCGAGCCGGTTTCTCAAACTTACCTACCCCACCTTTAATATAATTATATTTGTATTTAAATGTAGGCTACATTTTACACCACAACGGAACACAAAAGCAGGACCAACCATCATACATTGAATTCCTTGACTAAAAGAGAAAGATTAATTCATTTAAATAAATATTTAACAACAAATGGGCCAGTTCTAAGGGGTTAATCAGTTAGGCCCGATGAGGGGGCATACAGCTGTGCACATGTCATCATTAACAGACGTCGTTTAAAAGTGACGTTTGAGTGAACGAGGACATCTCAATTAATACCTGAGGACTCCTCTGTCCTCGCGTCACCTCCTCGTGTCTCTCGCTCGCATCTTACGGAGGCGGAGCTAAGACGCAAGGAAGGGAAGCGAGTAAGGGAAAGGAGGAGGTGAAATATTCAATTGAGACGAGCCTAGGGAGAAGAGAGAAAAACAGGAGGGAAGGAGAACCACACAAGTACAGTCTGCCTGGCACGTAACACACCCTCTGCACCACCTGTTGCTCAACAGGACCACATCTCAATGTTTCACACAGCTATGACATCACTGTTGCACCACAAACATACTTGCAATCAGCTATTAAAAAATGATCGTCCTGAAAAGCCAGTCAAGACCAGGATACTAGGATTACTAGATACTAGGATTAATTAATTAATTAAGTCATGACAATGTGTCAAATATGTTTTAGCAAGCCATTTCATTTAGCGTAAGCATTTTACAGAATATTAGGACATCACAATGATGTTTTCAGAAAGCTAACTTTTCCAACTAACCACCGGAAACTGGAAAACATGGCAGTAAAGTCCTCATCAAATAATTGTGTGTGTGTGTGTGTGTGTGTGTGTGTGTGTGTGTGTGTGTGTGTG